ATTATCTTATACAGTAGTGTTTTTTTTTCTGTACCTACCCAGTAATACAAACCGTTAATAAATTTATATTTAAATTATTATTTGTGTGTGTATGTTTAAACTAATTTTGTCTTATTTACTTCTAATCATATTATTATGCTGACTTCGATTGTTTGTTCAATATTAAATATGCCAAAAATGTAATATATATAATACAATAATACATAGTAATATAATAGCATTATACGTATATCCATTATAATTATTGTTATAACTTACGGTTGTACAGTACTCAGCTTTTCCCCTCTCTTTTTTGTCAACCATCGTCGTATTTTAAATTCCCACTAGGTTTTTTCAACAGTACGGTAATCATAAGTACACATCTTCGTTTTGTATTTTTTTATCCTCTTATTAGTGTAGTATATAAAAACTATATATAAAACAGAGCGACATCACAATAAGCAAGCCCATTCTTAGCACAACTCATCCGATATATCAGATAAACTGTGAAATTATATAAGTTATAACTTACAATCGACCTACTATCGTAGTTCGTAAAATGAACGGTTTAAAAATTATTATGTTGATGTATTTACATATATTATTGATGGACCACCAAAGATAGGGTGAGAATGAATATTGAGTGACGTCTTGTGACAGGGTACACCTACAATAGTTGTCGGTTATCGTGATGGACGAGGACGACCAACATGGCAACTGACGTTTATGTTTCACTTCAAATTAAAAAAATATATAACTAATAATGATAATTTTGAAAGAATTTAATTTCATGGATACTAATGGTACCTATGAGTAAAAAAAAAATTGATTCTGATAGCGTTGATTACACGATGGTATCGTAAGTATAGTATTAAATTATATTTATGTTTTTTTTTTATGTATATATATTTTATATTTATGTTTTCAACATTATTACATGACATTATACATCTTATTAAACTCACAACTACATGTCATACAACTTGTGGTTTTTCAAAATATTTTTTTCCAATAAGTACAAAATTTATTTTAAATTACAATATAGCTTATTACGAGAATATAACATTATAATTCTTAGGAAACTGGTTTTTAATAGTCTTCTAAATTCCTATGAAGCAATAAAACAATGAAACAAACTCACAATGATAATTTATTCTTTAAATATGTTACACAAATCTAAAACCAGTAAGACATTTATATATTTATCTGTATATATTACCATAGGTACATAGTTTTATAAATATATTTACTACTTAATTCAATAAATTGAAAAAAATATTGTTTTAATTGTATTATAACATGTATTTAATTATCTATGTGCATTACTACTCCTTAGTTGGAGCTTAAAATAAGTAATTTACATGATAATATTTTGTAATAATAAACAATTTAATTAAAATTGAAAATAAGAGTTTTTCTAAATACGTTTTACAATATTATTATTTTTCCATGTACACGCATAAAATAAATTGTACGAACAAAATATGAGTGTATAAATACAACAGTATACAAAACCATATTATTTTTTAATTGATACATTTTCAAAATATTAAAGATAAGATCTATTTTGTTAGAATTTTCTACAGCAAATATGGTATTCAAGTAATGTCTCGACCATTAAATATCACCATATTACAAATCTGGGGCAAAAAATAAGACTATTGTCAATTTTTGTTTAGTTATTATTTTTTTTCCTTTTTATTTTTGTATCCACCGAGTTTTTCACTTGAATGCTTGCAAAATGTACAGATTATCTCTATACACCGACTAAACATAGGAAAAAATTTGCGAGAAACGACAAAAACCAATTAAACAATAACTCTTTTAAACGCAATTGGTTAATATTATTTATGAAACAAACCTATGTCTACGATTGAAAATATATATTTTTGTACTGTTAAATTACATGAGTATCAAATACCATATGTACTTGTTTATTAGCTTATTGGACACCCATAATAAAGTGAAACGTGTTGGGTGATCACCATTTTATGTTTAATCGGTAATAAGCAACAGTAATTTTACTATAGTAATAATAAAAAAAAAATATTCAAGAATCAATCATAACAATTGCGTTGACATAACTATACAAAAAAATATTATATTCCTAGTAGAAAAGTATAATACACTTTTTGCAGAGATTTTTTTGGGTCTAATTATTATATACATCCATGTAAGACAATGATAATATCAACAATTCAAATCAGATTTCGAAATACCCTTATGTCAATAATTATATGATACGAAAATAGATTATTACATTAGAAATTGTATTTATTTAAAATAATATGAAATGTTAATCCCATTCATAGTGTTAGTTTGTATCGATCTATTGTTACTGAATTCACCAATTTGGCCGGGTATTAAATATAACATATCGTAAGCTGTGCAAAAAAAAAAGCAGAGGAAACCAATTAAATGATAAAAATATATTGGAAATCATAAGTAAATCATAAATAACCTAAGTTTTATTTTGTTAAGTCACCAGGGAATTTCTGATTGAGAATAGCTGGAAAAATATAAATGTTAATAACAAATGGACAACCAAAGTAAATTCGATCGGAGTATTCGATACGAATGTGTACAACGCAATTATAAATAATAATACATATACACACACACACACATATATTTATGTCAGACCTTCACCACTGACCGAAAATAGATTACAGTCAGAGAAAATAGTGGTAAAATTGACATTGACACGTTGTTGTGATTTGTCCACGCGTCCGCGTCCAACGCAATTGTATTTTTAATCAAACGACGTCTGCACGAACGATCGCGTGTTAATTACAACAGCCTAGCAAACATGTCCGAGTTTATTACGTAATTTGTGTCCGGAAAATCGTAAAACAAAAAATACAAATAGGAAAACCGTGACATCGTTATAACTAGCAATATGTTTTGTTATAAATTGAATTTAAGACATTTATGCATACTTAAAGTAATGGGTCTTTTGTGCGAATCGTGTTTCGGTAATGTTTTCACGGCCTCGGGAGTTGTCAAATTATACGAATAATTCTCACCCTTGATCCAGCGCGGCGTAATGCGCTCGCCGCACGCAGAGAGACGAAACCAAACGGCGTGGCTGTTGACCAAATTATAATATTATGATTATTTAACCGGCGCTTGGTCGTCGTACCAGCATCTCAGACAAGTATTCTAATTTCTACTAAATTATTATTCGCCGTAAACGTTGGACCAAAAATTTCGTTGTTTCGGATGTCATATTATTTTAGCTACGTTTTATGTGGTGCATTGTTCCGATCAATTACTGTGCATAGAGTAAAACCGTGATAAATTTGAATTTGTGCGAAGGATATTACAGAAAATCAGTAAAACCACTCATCAATTGCACATTGAAACAATATCTCTTATTTTTCCGAAGTCTTTAATCGTTTTAGGTGACTTTATACTATGTACTATTGTTCAATATGCGTGTGCAAATGATAAACCTATATTGTAATATTCTTAGCGATTCATCTATATTTTATAATATATTAATTGAATTCGCGAGGTACTTCACATAAAATGTTTAAATTAAAAATAGATTATGATGGACTTTGAAAGAAGTTTAATATTTAATTATAATAATATTATGCATAGAGTTTTTCATGATAACATGAGTTTAAAAGATAGAAAATAATTTATAAGGATATGTAAACACGATTTGATCAAATTCAATTCACAAAATAATAAAATATATTAATTATTTCTAACATTGTATAGGTTGTGTAACTTTTTATAAAGAAAATGAGAATAAATATAATATATTTTATGATTTATAATATTAAATTATCAATTACAATTAATAAAAAATACTGTATATTTTAAATGTTTTAATTTTATGAAATAAATAGGAGAATAAAATCACTTTAAACTTTAAAGCACTTAAAACATTTGTGATGAGTTAAAAATGTTAATAGGATTCTATAAGCAAAAAGAAATTCTGCTATCGTAAATATTAAATACTGATTTTTGATTTCAGTTATAATTATAGTACCAATTAATAAAAAAAATAAAATAGATACCTACCTACCCACTATATAATATTTATATAGTATTACATTACCTAATCGTATAAATGATATTTTATTTGAAATTTTAACAACACTAATTAAATAATTAATTATATTAAAAACTAAATTCAAATTATTACATGAATTTGATAATTATTTTGTCACAAAAATCTACTGATCCATAAACATTTATTGCAATGTCGTTTTACTTATCATGCAATTATAAACTAATCAATGGTTTATTTTATTATCGTATTCTGAAACTCATCTATTTAATAATTTTTAATTTTTTATGCAAATAGATAATAATTTTATCAATTTTTCGATTTAATGTATTATACATAGCAATACATTTATTTTTTAAGAATTTTGAACCTATATTATTATGTCAATGAAATGATTAAAAACCAGCTGTGAGCGAATTGCTTTTAATATTGTAATTATAATTATAATTATATTATTTTATCGTACTACTCATATGATTTCATTTAAATTGGTTACAACATATTGTTTGCTTACAAATAATACAAATTTGTACAGAAAAATTAAAATAATTATATTCAATATCTATCTTACATAAGTGTTGATGCGTGTTATTTTATTGCATTTCGACTACAAACTAGTGTAATATTATATAACATGATTTCTATTTTATAAGAGAAGATTATATTTATTTTATACTAATGTAAATCAAATAAATATACTTTTAGCTGTAAACAATTAAATAACAGAGAAAATAGTCATAATAATACAAACAATACATAAGAAACAGGTTATGTTTTACACATTAATAACAATATTTAACTTAAAATAATACAAATTTCCTAGTTTAAAACAAAAAATACACTATAATATTAGGAATAATTATACTATCGAATAAATTGTCTTGGTAGAACAATTTTCACTGGGCATATTATAATTGTTTTGAATAAAGAAATAATACTTAATAGGCATTTATTTTGTAGTTTGATATGGCTATATCATAATCAGATATTTTAATTATTTCTTTTTTCTGAATCAGTTATTTTTATCTGGCCACAGACAATAATATATACTATTTTAAATAAAATGTGTCCATGTTTGCAGTCTATCTTCATAGACGAGCAATTTTTAAATAGTTTCCACTGCTACCTAGTTATTTTTTGTCACAGTGACATCAAAAATCTAGTAAGTATTAAAATACGAGATAATTAGCAGTGTAATCGAATGCAGCATAAATAAAAAATAAAATCTTAAGATCACAAATGAAAATATTTTACAGAAAAAACGACTGAAAATCACTATTCGATGTAATGAGCCACTATTTAACTTAAATCACATAGTTAAAAAAGTTACCATTTTTATAAATTTAAAATATGAATTAATGTTTTTTTATACATGATTCATCTTTATTGCTGTCCACTTTGATCACACAGCCGTTGCTCAAAGCCAATTTCTGTTGTGAATCTTCATTTTCGCCCAGCTTAGAGTTTTTCATAACTTCCAACATAGCCTGTAGTCTTAATACGTAGTCTGAATATGCCGGCCCACACTTGAGAAACTCTTCTATAAGGTTCTCTATAGTTGTTCTTAAGATTCGAATTTCCTGTAAATATGTTATGAATACAATTAAGACTATTCAAAATATTTAGAATAAATTTAATTAATTTTTTTTTTTTTGGTAGACACATATTCGACAACTGTGATGCGGTCCCCGAGATTTCGGTCTACACATTTTATGTTTATATTTGTAAAACTATTACTTAATCGGTTTTATAGACGCACATTTTTGATTTTTATGTGAGGTAATTAAATAACATTTTGTTATTTAAATGTTATATTTGAATTTGGGTTGGATAGTTTTAGTGGGTATTAATTATTTTTACCAGAAAAACTAAAGCGATGACGGTTATAATAAAATTATATTATATTATTTTTGTTAATACTAATTTTCTGAAAAAATAATAGTAGTTTAAATTTATAATATACAAGATGTATATTGCTTGGATATTTCATAACAATAAGTATTAACCTATGTTCGTAGACTATGATAAATTTTAAATAGATATTTTTACATACCGCTTATTACATATATATTTTGATGCTCATAAAGTGACAATAAATTATTGATTATCCTTAAAACAAATAACTTTGATAATTGAATGTATATTTCGTATGAAAAATAATAACTTTAATAGTATTTATATAACAATTTCACGGCATGGTCAACCGGTGTCAACAGATAGTTGACCGTCGCCGTCACAGCTCAGTTTTAGTTGTGGAAATTTACTCTACTTATACATCATGAAGACAATAGCACTCAAAATGTTAATTTATCACTTATATGAATAAATATAGTCCATAACAAATTTTAATAATTCATATATTTTAATCATGTACTTATGTTATTATTTGCGAATTAAAAGCTAGTTGTTTCTGGAGACTAGTTGTTCTAATAATATAATACTGATACTATGATTATCTTCAATAAATTATTTTAAAACTAAGATAATATAAAAACTACTGGTAAGACTAGATAGCCTTAAATTTTAGAAAAAAAAGATATAAAATAATTATTTTCATTAGTTCTAAATTTTAAAAATGTGTTAAAATATATTCAGACGCAAATATATTCTTATTTACAGACACTAACCAATTCATGTTGAAAATATTATTAACGGAACAAAATATTATTTAATCTCCGGAGTGAAGAAGTATATCATCAGTTGATCTACGTTGTCTACGCACGGTATGTGGATCTATTATATTATACTCACGCAACCATCGAAGTATAATTTATAATAGTCCATAATTGTTAGCAAACGTATTAATAAAACTTGAAAAATAACTTTTTTTAGAAATAAGACGTTTAAAGTCTATATTTTAGCAAAGTTTATTGTACTTATTATTAAATGTATATTAGTTTTTTCTGTACCTGAAGTTCTGTGATTTCTTTGTTGTCACTTATACTTTCATACGATGGATCAGAATGTTTTTGTTTGCTATTGAACTTTAGTTTTTGTGTAGTTATTTTATGAGAAGACGTTTCTTCCACCTTGTGTTCACCTTTGTATATTATCAAAGCCTGTGGGTACCCAAGCAAAATATTTATACTAAACATTCTAAACTTAATAACTTAATAAAAGTTCATAAATGTACGTCAAGTTAAAAGTTACTTATTTTCTAAAATATTTGAGTTAAGAAATTAATTGATGCTGTTTCATTTAAAAATAATAACCTATGCACACTTATGATTAACATAATATAATATATTATAAAAAATAAAAAGTTCATACTTCATTATATATTAGGTATATTATTGTCATAAAATTATTATATTAGCTTTGAATAGTATCATGCAAATTATAATAATGCCTAATTGATAATTTTTAATTTATTTAATAAATTAATAGATACGGTATCCTTATTAATTTTTAATTGATACTTAGTTTTTATTTATTTCGCTATAAATTTTATTACTGACTATATTTCAAAATATATATACGATATTAATTGATACTACGTAATAGTAATAAAATCGATAAAAAAAAAGTTAAGAAAAATAGCGTTTAAAATTTTGTATTAGTTTTTATTTTATAAATCAATAATATATTTGAAACAAAATAGACAGAAGTAATTGACTAAAACTAACTAGAAACTATTATTATCGTATAATGGTTTGAAGTTTGTATTTTTGAGTAAGAATAAAATGTCATGAAAAAAAAAAAAAAAAAACAGTTAATTAAAATGTATTTATATGCAATATGCATTTGTTTAAATTAACATAACGATGCAAAAATAATTGGGCTTTGGGGGTAATAATATCATTCAGTATTCTCGTAGGTAATTAGGCCCGTAGTCATAAACCAATAATTTAAAACAACAATTTAAATAACAAATTATATATCTACTTTTTATATGTATCGTTATCAGGATATCTAACAAAAAATAAAAGACAATAAACACAATTAGTTTGTTATTATCTTTACAATGTAGAAGTTTATTAATGTAGGATTTGTAGTAAATTTTAATTTATGACGTTTCTATCGAAATTAGGTATTACTACAACAACTACTACTAATATTACTACTACTACTACTACTGCTACTACTACTACTACTACTACTACTACTACTACTACTACTACTACTACTACTACACAGATTTTATTATACAGTTGTAGATAGGCAATACATTCACATAATCTGTGTATTGACTTAAAGATTACTTGTTTATTGTTGAAAATATTATATTCTCATTTGACTATTCTAGTATACAGCATATCGACTTTTAAATTAAGTACATAGAGGTTCTAGAATTTTTGACATAGTTCTTATTGCATTTATGTTCACATATTTTTTACTTTCTAAATAGTTATGTTTTATTTTTTGTCAGTTGTTTCTACAGATATGGTCTAAATATCTAAGAAAAAATGCCTAATATTTTAAATTATATTTACTAAGTGTAGTTTTTACGGACTTTTTTGAGGAACTGTTGTTTTTAGAAATTAATTTTTATTTTAGTTCTTTAAAATGTCAACAAAGTCAGTTTTTATGCGTGCATTTTGGTATTTGAAAAAAAAAAAAAATTATTCATTTAAATCCATTTTTTTATTATTTTTTTTAAGAAAACCTAATATTTTTATAATTTTTCTCTGGGTTGTAAATTTGTAATATAACCTGAAAATAAACACGATGATAAATATTGAAAAATAATGTTTATGGCATGGTATTATGACTTAAATGCAGGCAGTTGTTTTATTGCGTATTAATTATTATTTCTTAGTGATAAACAAATTCTGACAATACTATTACAGTATAAGAAAATATAGCTGTGTATGATAAGTTAAAAAGTTTTTTGTAAAATATCAAATCAACATAATACCAACAATAAACAGGCATTCATGCGTATTGCATTATTTACAATAATAATCTAACTTAAGGTTAGATTAGTTCACTCAAAATAATTTATTTTAAATGTAATAATGTTCTATTTTTTTTCTCATAAATTATTTAATATGGTAACATTTAAGAAACTTTTTTTTTATGTTCTCAACTTATAACAGATATCAAAAATTATAAAAAATAATTGGGTTTAACATCAATCAAAAATGAAAAGAAAAAACATCGTTTTCTGTAAAAAAAAATATATATATATATTTATAATATAACGATATTGTTATTCATGAAAAAATATCTTTTTTTAATGTTAGTAAATAATATAATTTTAAGATACATACTAAGTTCCTGAATTTTCAATATTATTTTTACATCCAGAAGTATAGCGTAAAATAAATTTAAATTATTACCTATACTAATATTATTATTATTATTATTATTATTATTTTTTTTCATGTAATAAATAATTTAAATGATAGATTAAGTGTAATAGATATTATTATTATTATATTATTAAACAACTTAGTTGGATATTATTTAAAATGAATAACTTACTTTTAATTTTGAAATATATTTGAATATATGCATTTAGAAGTTATAGTTAAGTATAAACATCGTTTAATTTTTTGTAATAGAACCCTAACATTACTTACAGTGGCTTAAGAGCAACATGCAAAACTACATACCTACAGCAAACATAAAACAAATATTTTATTTTACATAACATTTATTATCCCTTCTACATTAATTAAAAAATACAAACTAATTATTATAATATTTTGTAGTAACTAATAAGTTCATTGGTCATACTATATTTTTTTATATAAACTTCTCTAAATAAGACGTATATTTGTATTATATTTTTTGTCTTTACCTTACTGCCAAATAAAAGTCCCAGTAATACAGTTGCCGTAAGTTGAGCGTGACAAAAAAATATGACGTATTGTAAATCTGGATTAGCTGGGTATTTTAAAAATATCCTGAAAATTGATTAAAATATATATATTTTATTGAGTATATCATGAAATATATATATATATATGATGAAATCATAAGACCATATATCCATAAACAAGTCATTTTTAAGTTAAAAGGAAAAAAATACTTTTTAGCTTTTGTAGTTCTAAACCATAATAAAGATTAACTCAAAATACGTAAGATAAGATTTAAAATAAATTTTATTAAAGTATATATGTTTATAATATATTATATACATGACATTGTTTTCTAACTACTTATATTTTACTTATAGTTAAGTTAAAACATAAATTCAGCTAAAGTATAAAGTATACAATTTTTCAAAACATAATATGATATGTTTTTATATTTAATATAAAGTTAGAACTGTTGACTGTTCAAATTTAAAAAAATATATTAAACACATTGTTTGAAAATAAGAGAATGCAAGGATATTTTTGATACTAAAATAAATATTATCCTATACTATACTATTATATTCAATATTTTATAAGTTACAAGTATTTTTAGTCGAAAGTTAATACAATTTTAGCTTGTATAGCAAAGGTTTACAATATTCCTCTTAAATAGTTCATACTGGAACTTTAATATAAAAAATATAAGCAGTTATTTATAATGGCAATTCGATGTTAAAATTTCGAAGAAATTACTTTATATGTCATGTATAAATATTCTTATAAAATATTATTATAACAATTTTTATTTTGTATTTCTTAACAGCCAACTATAATATCAATAAAAAATAAGTTTAATTATGCTATAGTTATTGATTAATAACTACAATAACATGCTATGCTATAATAGGTATTTAACATGTCTTGTGGAATTTTAAATTAAAATATTTTATTGTATATGTATTATATTACCTAAATAAAATTTGAATATAAATATTCATCGATAGTAATTTAAATAATAAGTTTAATGTTTACAGTAAAAAATTTTATGCAGTAGGGTGGATAGAAACTAATCTGAATTTCACATAAATGATGATATAATTGTTATCAAATTATTTCTACATATTATTAAAATATTTTTTATTTATATACTAATGTTAAATCAACGTTTTTATGTTATATATAACTATGTATTTAAGTGCAATTATAAATTTTAATCCACTAATTTTCGATTGAGTACGCATTATTTTTGAAATAAATTGTAATGAAATAATATTAAAATAATATCGTTTAAATATTTTAAGTTGGCAAATGTTAAAAAATAATTAAATTGATAATTATTATGAAAATATTATAAAATGTATAACTTAATAATTTTTTGACGTTAATAAATTGATTAAAAAAAAAGTATGCAAAAGTAAGATGGATGAGATCATTTTGATACAGATATGTAAAAATTTAAAACAATGATATATTGGAAAATAATTCCACGTTGAGCTGAGTTTACTAGAAAATCTAGATTTTTCTAAAAACGTCATTGTTAATACTACTTTTTTTTTCGTAATTTTCAAGGATTCTTTCAAAAATCATTGTGAATTTAAGCAATATCACTAAACAATAAATGCAAATAGAAAAATACCGTTTATTTTTCCAATATATTGAAGTCTTGTATAAAATATTTTGATTTTTTTTTATATTTAACCAAAAATAGTATCTTTTAATACCCTTTTATTAATTAGAAAAAATGCATTATCTGATATTTTTGTCATAAAATTAAATATAACGCATTGATTGAAAAAAAAAAATAAAAACATTAATATACTCTACAGAATATTTAAATTGATTTTTATAAAATTTATTTGGTAAATACATAATGACAATTGATTTATTTCCGAAAAAAATGCTTTCAATAATTTGTCAAACTAGATATTCAATAGTGAATGATAAAACACTGCTCAAGGCAATTGATGGAAATTCAAGAATTAAAATGTATATACGTGTAAATAGTTTTTATTTTTTATGATTAATAACTCTTTGATATATTTTTATTTTTTTTTTTTTAATTCAAATTTCATCAATCATAATGTTAACCTATTATTAATTACCATAAATATAATTAAAAATAATTTAACAAACGTTATTTTTAATGAAACTAAAGCAGCTTGGCAATTATTGAGGCTAAGTGTTCAATTACATAATTTAAAAAATACTATTAGCAATTAAAAATGTATTTTAACAATAAATACAATTATTGTTTATATTTAATAAAACAAATATAATATCAAAACACGCATTTTAAGCAATTAATTTTTTGTGATGACATTTTTTAAGAACTTAAATATTTATCATTCATTCTTAGTGTTTTTATAAAATTGTAATTATCAAAATAATTATAAAGTGAATAAATAATATGTTTACGTATATAATTATTATTTATACTTACTTATACTTTTCAAACATAACTATATAGTAATATATTTGAATGACCAGTACCTATAATCTATTTAGTAATTTACCAGATTATTTAAAATGGTATTTTGAGTAAATAAATTATTAGTTTAATTTTTAACTTTATTGTACATAATTTATTTACTAATTATTATAATCAAATAATATTAATATCCAATTAATTTTAATTCTAATAATTTTATACATATTTTACATGAATATAAAACTAGTAAATTAATGTGACAAATTAAATAGTACTTACATGGAAACATTGAGAAATACGGACATGATAAACTCGTTATATATGGCTATAGAAATAAACCGACTTTCATTGAAAGCAGACGGCGTTTTCCGAACCATTACACACAAACGGATACCCCAAATTAAGAATAAAACTTCCACTAAAAAAAAGGAAAATATTAAAAACTTGTAAACATATTTTAATTTTTAAATTCCAATACTAATGTTTATTGATCAAAATAAGTTATCAATAAATAATAATTAATTATTTATTATTAATATAGAATATTTTTGTTTTCAGAATTTGTCCAAAATTTTTATTTTTATTTCGAAATTTATTATTATGGACATTATGCATTACATATTATATAATAAAATAATGTTTTTCAAATGTATTTTTAGATTTTATGTTTAAATGTATTATTGCATTGGTACATCAGTAGTTATGTAATTGAGTCATTAAATATGATAAATACTCACAAATAGAAAACGAGTGATCCCACCAATCTGTGGGACAAATATCTGTCTTAAGATTGTCTGCTGTGCGACCGACAATCGTGTGTGGTGGAGACACCATCGTCCTGATGAACAGTATCACAGTGACAAATGCGATCATTAGAAGCAGAAGTTTAATTAGCTGTTTGTCAGTTATGCGAACGGTCTTTGCTGAGTTCACTTTGAACACTTGAGATACTCTGTGAATGGAATAAGAAAACTATTGCTGTTTTATAATGATATAAATTAATATAGGCTCGTCTAACATTTGGAAACACCGTTAATATTTTTGAATCTACTCCAAAAAATGTCCATGTTAAACTACTATTACATTATAGACATAAGAGCTTAGAGGTGTAATTTGTATGTGTTTTTAATTATATGGTATAGTATAGAACTTCAAAGAAATTATTTACTATGGTTGAAATAAAATATCAATTATCATATCATTGTTTGACAATAGTTGAAAAACAACAATTGAGCTTTGTTATTTGTGTGGTTTGAGAAATAAACTCAACGCTATCTTTAATTTTTTGACTAAAAGCTAACAAGGGCACATATTTTATATTTCAGTATTTAGTCATAGTGATCAGAAACATAAAAAATTTAGAGGATTGATTAAATTTTATTATATATATATTATATTTATAAAACTGTTATGATAAATAGATGAACAGTTAAATACCATTTTAATATATGTTCAAAACTTGATAGTTCTAAGCCAAAATGTTATTTTTAAAATACATTTAAAATAAAATATTGATTTCACATAATATTACATGTTTAATTTTAAAATGATTTTATCAACAAGTTCATAATTAATTCGTACAATTTAATAAGATTAAATATCTCTTGCTAAACAAAAAATTGCATAAAATCAGTAAAGATTTTCAAAATTATAAAAAAAAAAAAAATTAACGTTAGAATTCAAACGTCAAACTAAAAGAATAACTCTTTCAGTCATAATTGAATTTAATTGTGTTCCGTGTTTTCTCAGTAACACTATTTTGTTATGATATAATATTTATTTTAATATTGTGATAAGTAATGTACAAATAAATACGCTTAGCTTGTAAATATATTATTTTTATTTAAGATTAAAGTGTGTTTAATATTGTATAAACAAATACAATTTAATGAAAGTAACAATCAGTTTTTCATAGTTATTATGAATAATAATTAACGCATTACAAAATATGCATCTTATTTTAACGAGACAAAATCATATTTTATCAATTTTAGAACCCAATAAACGGATACAGTGGATTAAAATTGAAGATAGAAGTAAACAGCTATTTATTAGTTAAGCGGAAAACAGATCCTTAAGCAAGGAATTATTTCCGAAACAGCGGGGGATCTACTCTTAAAAGGAAGTAAGAGAATAAATTCACCTCCAAGTTTTCAACATGAGTGCACCGTAAGTGAGAGAAAATCCAATTTCTCTGAGCCAAAATCTTGCAGTACACGTTACTAAATTTGGTGTTGGATACATAACGATGATCTAAAATAAGAAAATAAATAAATAAAAACACTATTAGTTATTTTGTTATTGTATTAGCACTATTTGTGAGTTAATGGCTTAATGTTATTTTTGAAATCGGTCGAAATTAACTAGTAAGTTTTAATTTTTTTTTTTTTAAAGAAGTTTTAAATTATAACTTCTAATTCATTTTTATTTTGTTTATTATTCTTGTTAAGTATTTAAACTTAACTAGATCGATATATAGTAATATTTACTTGCTCGTTTATTTGTAAATTATTTTTAATTATATTCAATTTGAACTACTATTTAAAAATAAGTGGTTGGTATGACAAAATACAGGCCCTAATAATGTCGATTTTCAAAGTAAATATGATTAGATTAAATATAAAAATAAAAGAAGTCTTGAAATCTTTTAGTCTAAAATGAGTATTCATTTTTTATTTAAAATTATGAAAATAGATATAATTTTTTAATCAGTGAATTGTGGTCGCTTGAAAGTTCAGACTGAATCCTGTTATAAATATGTTAAGGTTCTTCGATAGAAATGTTTTGATATGTAGGTTATTATGAAAAGTACAATTATGAATATTACAATTTAAAAGCAGAAAATTATCAATTGAACGGAACTAGTAGTGAGATATTTGCAAATTGAAATAGTTTGAAATGTTTGAATTCTATTGAGATTGGATATTTTAGCTATACTCCATACCTAGTTATAGACCGTTAGTCAAAATATGTTTGAGGATAGTTTTGTAAATTGTTATTTTTTTTTTTTACAGTTTGTGAAATTATGTTTGCAATATTAATAAGTTTTTTTAATCAAAGTTCTGTATACATTTTAGATGCTCGGTGTCGTCAAAGCTTACCGTTGTATACATAAAAAAAGCTCCCAAGATTATTATCTGTAGCAACACTGGACTAGCGGCTTTTACAATCTGAAACATAAAATATAAAATTCATTCAAATTCAATTTCTGAACAATATATTTATTATCTATACTATACTATATATAAAAAAAACATGTATATACAAAAAAATAAATATCAGATCATAGTTTGATATTGTACTGCAAAGTACGTGTACTCTCTTTAGAATATAATTTCAGTATAAATTATTTATACTTATTTGATCAAAAAACTTTTATTTTTTATAATATTTATGCATATATATTTAATGTAATCAATTGTTATGAAGTTTCAATGAATTTAAATAATTCAAATATTGAAATATGACAGTTAATACCTACTTGAAAAAATAATAATGGAATTATTAGAAAATTACATTTTTTTAATATTATATTTTAGTTTTATATCCTATATATCAGGGGTGGCCAACATGACTATGTACGCGAGCCACATGTATTAATAAAATTATATCAAGAGCCAAATTATCTAATCTGTACTTTTATACCACAAAAGTAATAAAGATAGCAAACAGCCGATAAACATATCAAATTACGAAATATGAAATTATATCGTTTTTAATATAGTCTGTAGTCTGTGTTAAATAGTCCTATTGTAAACACCTCAATTTATTTTGTAAAATATTTGTAATATTTAATAATTATATTTGTAATATTTTACCGATACTTATTGCGAAAGTTAGTTACGATGTCAATTTCTAATAAAGCGGTTAAACGTAAATATGAAGAAGAAAAACGGGAATTTAAATTAGAATGGGAAGAAATATACTTTTTTATACAGAAAAACGATAAACCATTTTGTCTCATATGTCAAGTTACATTATCACAGTTTAAGGTTAGTAATTTAAAACGGCATTACGAAACCAATCACAGCACATTTAGTCGAGAATTTCCTATTGGTTCTGATTCGAGGAAAAATAAGCTATGTTCGATGAAATTAAAATTTGCTAAACAAACTAATGTTATGACAATGTTTACGAACGAGGCAGACGACTGTGTAGAAGCAAGTTTTGTAATTGCCTTTAATATTGCTCAAGCAAAACGTCCGTATACGGACGGCGAGTATATAAAAAAAAATATTTTAGATGTAATTTCTGTTTTAAATCCTGAAAATCAAAAACTTTTAAAAATGGTTGAAAATGTACCAGTATCACGACATACAATAGAAAGGCGTATTTCAACAATTAGCTTTGATATTTTCACCAATTTAAAAAACAACATTGCTAATTGTTTATCTCTTAGTCTAGCTTTAGATGAATCTACCGATATCCAAGATAAACCTCAGTTAGCCATATTTGTTCGTTATGTTACGAGTGATGTAGATGTGAAAGAAGAGTTGTTAGATCTAATTTCATTGAAGGAAACTACTCGGGGTATTGACATTAAGATTGCTCTCGATGAAACTCTACAAAAAGCTGAAATTCCACTAAACAAAATTATAAGCATTTCAACTGATGGAGCTCCTAGTATGGTGGGTTGTAAAAATGGATTAATAGGACTTTTAAAAAATGATACTAATTTCCCAGATTTTATACCTATTCATTGTATTCTACATAGAGAACACCTAACTGCTAAATATTTTAAATATGATCATGTGATGGATGTTGTTTTAAAAATTGTAAATTACATACGTTCAAGTGCAAAAACACATCGGCAGTTTAAAAACTTCCTAGAAGACATAGAAGATGATATTCCTAATGATGTCCCATGGTATTGTCTAGTTAGATGGTTGTCGGTCAATAACATTTTAACTAAATTTTTTCAATTAATAGAACCAATCAAAGTATTTTTAATAGAAAAAAATAAAAGTTTTCCTCAACTTTCAAATTCAAATTGGTTAAGAGATTTGGCATTTTTCACCGACATCATGCAACATTTATCAACATTAAATGTATCTCTTCAAGGTCAAAATAAATTAGTTAATGACCTAGCGCAAAAAGTATTTAGTTTTCAAAATAAACTAAAACTTTTCATACGAGATTTACAATCAAACAATTTTACTCACTTTTCATGTTTAGAAAAAATAGAAGCGTGCCTGATAGAATCAGAAATAAAAATTAATTGTGACGACTATGTACTTAAACTTGAATTTCTATTTACCGACTTCGAAGAACGATTTCGAGACCTAAAGGCATTAAAACCCTCATTCGGATTTTTTAGAAAATCCATTTTTAGTTAATGTCATTGAAAAGGGATGTCCATTATCACATCCTATCATCACAAATAAAGCGGATCTCGAAATAGAACTCTTGGAGTTATTAGAAGATGAAGGTCTTAAGCAGTTTATAAGCAATTGTCCCTCTATATTGGAATTTTGGAAGCATATTTCTATATTAAAATACCCAAATATTAAAAACTGTGCGGTAAAATTGATATCAATTTTTGGAACGACGTATTCATGTGAATCACTTTATTCAACAATGAAAATAATTAAGTCAAAATATCGTTCAAATTTGACTGATGATCATCTTACAGAATTACTAAGAACTGCTCTTACATCAATTCAACCAGATCTTAAGAAGCTTACTAAAAAAGTAGACACGAAAAAAATACCACGCAAACAAAATTAGCTTAATGTTTAATTTTTTAATTTATTATTCATATTAATTAATTTTTTTTTTGTTTGATTTAATCTATATTCTATGTTCTAAGCCTTAAATAAATACAATAAAAACATTTTTTTATAAATGTATACAAAAAAAATTAAAATATTTTGGTTTTTGTAAATAAGACCGCGAGCCGCATACGACTGTGACGAGAGCCGCATGCGGCTCGCGAGCCGTGATTTGGCCACCCCTGCTATATATTATATAACAATTCACAAATAAATTGTTTATTAAAAAATAATATCAATGCATTGTAGTATAAATACGTTAATTTATAAATTTATTATCTGATTAAGTTATTGATTTAAAGTTCTGATAGTCCAATTTAGAAATGCATATTTTATATTACTAAATGTTACAAATATTAATATTTTTAAGCTCTTGGTAATTTATATAATACTTAAAGAGTGCCAAAAGATGATACATGGTTTTATTTTCATATTTTTTTTTATTTGAACACATTTTTTTACTTTAAATTATTTATTGGACTATTTTTTTTTTTTTTTTTTTGTTTAATGTTGATATAGTCATATAAAAATGCAAGTGAGAAATTTTCCAGTTATTAAAATATTTATATTAATTGTAAAAATCTTTAAAAACAGTTTTTCAAAATATAAATATAATATGTAATACTGGATCTTGTATTTATTATTTTTAAACTATTTTTATAAAGTATATAAACTTGGATAGATTAATATAGATTTCTAAAACTATTAAATTAACGTAGTCTAAACTTGTTAAAATAAAACTATAAATTATCCTTTATAAGTAAACACAAAGTTGAATAACTCAAATCTATTCTTTTTAATTTTAAATACATCACAATTTTCAGAAAAATTATCCACTATGTACAAAATATGAATTATCATTTGAAAAAAAAAAAAAACAGAAGTTTTTATCTCTATAAAATAATTTTTAAATAGTACAAAAATTTTCAAGAATTTGAAATTATGGTCTAAACTCTAAAGAAATGTTTAAAAATTTAAAATTCAGATTTTGAATAACTTTAATATTAAAAAAAAAAAAAAAAATGGTAAGTAAGTTTGTTGAATCACCCTACATATTAATTATATAACTATAAATTCATAAAAGTAACATGAATATAGCTACCTAAAACTAAAATTATTATGTAAATAATGTAATAAAACTTAATAATAATAAATAAATATTATAAGTTATTATAAAAAAAAAAAATAAATAATATAATAAATGAATATTTCTCAAAACTATTTTTAGATTCTTTTTTGACGGGTATGTATAATACTTTTTCTTGAACATTTGATATACTTACACTTATTTATTATATTTATATATAATATATATACTTTACTAGGTACATAATCTACGGTATTATATTTGTCCATAATTTTGTCTCGACATATGACATGAAAACATGGTTGAGCACTTTATGAGTATTTCCAGTTACTCGTTTTCAACAGAAAGGCACACAATATATACATAGAATATTGATATAAATAGCACAAAGTAATTTTTTTTCGGTAAAGAACTTAAAATTGTATGCTTAGTTTTATATTTTAAAATACTTTAAGTGATATGATTGACATAATTTAAATATATTTAATATAAATACTATGATATACTTCTAGTTAACTATAGGTTCTAAATAATTTTTTTAGCAAAATACCTAAAATTATTTAGTATAAGCATTATATTGAAACTATTTATTTGATATTAATATAAATATTAAATTCTCTATAAAATAACGTTATCTATATGTTGTATCTCCATTTTAAAAACGTAGAAAATTTTAATTTTGTGTTTTAGCTTAAATATTAAAGTGAATTAATCTATTTTCAAATTTAAAGGTATAAACTTAATCTTTAATTTTTTTTTTAAAAAACTTATTTCATTTATGAATAAGCTAGGGTTATTTTTATTTTATGAGATTTCCCACTTTTATCTCTTACTTAGAAATTTAAATAGTTATTAAAACAATTTTATGTTTAATAACATAAGAACAAATTATGTTTTTACATTTAAGATTCATGATTAGTCAATTCAGTCAAATATTTAAAGTAATAAAAAGAAACTGGCACTACTGAATTTATATTTAACATTTTTTAAATATGTAACTGGAGATAAAACACATACCTTAGTAGCGTCATCAAGATAATATATACAACAAAGATATTGATTTCCATTAAAAAATACAAAAATACAGTTTAAATTACGAAATTTTAATATTTTATACTTCACATTATTATATTAATACTGACATCGATACCTAATATTCATAATGATTAACTCATAATTAATTTATAACTACAGTAAGTTTTATAATCTTTTATTTTCGAAAGATTTAGTCACAGATTCTAATAATAATATATATTTAAGAAAAAATTCTAAGAATTTCCTTTTAAAACTAATACGTACTTTACTTAAATGTAATTTAAAAAGGTTGAAAAATTTGATATGTGATAGATCTAAGAAACTTTGACGTATATGATGATAAAGAAGATTTACTGCATCGACTAAAAAATCTAAAACATAAGTCAACGCTCTATCTTTTTTCTTGAACCCCTGTCAAAGGATACTGTATTTATGATACTTCTTTATTGTCTATACGTGGTTTTTTTTTTCCCCCATAATAGGTGAGAAATGTCTATTATTTAAAAAGAAATTTATATACAATTTAAGATTATTGGTATACCTATTCCATAACATATTTTTTCTTGTGTAATAATCATATTCGCACAATATATATTTTAATGAACTATTAATGTATATTTGTTCCATAAAAATATATGTTATGATAAAATTAGATAAATATAATATAATATTGACATTTTTTTTTTTTTTTAATTTTAAAGTATTTATATCACAAACCTATTCACAGTGTCACAGTGTTATACTAGATTTTAATGCTGATTTATAAATAAATTAATACGTATAATGCAATTTGAAGTATTATTGCAGTAATATATGTTATAAAATAGATGAAATGTATTCTAGCTAAAAGTTAAATAAATGAACTATATAACTATAACTAATAGAGAAAAAATTACTAATATTAATAATAATATGTTATACAATATACTTAGACATACACACAAAACGTAATAATTTATAATTCATAGTTGTTTTTCATATAGAATGATATAATGTCATTGATTTTAAATTTAATATTTTTATTACATTAATTTAAAGAATTATGGGATATACTCAATACCTAATATGTAGTAGAATGAGTTTTAAAGTTCAGAGTGACTTTTTAGGTATTTGTCCTGTAATTTAAAATTTAAGTAATAAAAAAATAACTATAAATAACTATTTTTTTATTTTTTTGTTTTTGATTAATATCTAATAAGTTGAATACAAATATAATAACAATAACAAAAAAATGAAAAATGTACACATTTTTATATATTATAATATGTTGAGTGTATAGATAAACGAGCTTCTATCAAGTACCGTAATGGAATAAAATAGTTTTTCACGACGGGATACGATGTACTGAGTATTATTTATACAGGACATCCAACGGAGTTTAATATCAACTACTAGGTAAATGATTAAAAATTAAAATTTGAGAGGAATAATACTATCTTTAAACAATTATTTTTGATTACGTATATTTCAACTAGTTGATCTAAAAATTATTAATCAAAGATGAAAGAATACTTAAATAACCAACATAGATTATAATCATGTTTTCTAATTAAAACGGGTTGAAAGCAAATAACTTAAGGCATTTTTTGTTATTAAGCCTTAAGATTTAATGCTATTCATCTATTAATCCACTAAAATTATTTGAAAATAACCTTAAAGTTTAAATTGGTAGATTTTACACAAGCAAATTCTACAAAGGTTTTTATTATAATCTATACTTCTGTCAATTTATTAACATCGGTAAACCCAAGTAATCCCGTAAAAACGTATATTTGTGTTACTGACGTGCAGTACATTGTCTTTCACAATTCAGTTATTTTTATATGTTGTATTATTTTGCTTGACAATTAAAATAGGTATTTCAAATTTGTATTTGAGACCGTATATATTTATATAAATCTGAATAAAAGATAAGTAGGATTAAAAAATGACCTACTTATAATATATAAAAAAAATAATAACGTGTAAATTATAATAATAATATATAAACAATAGTACCTTCACTTTAATATTTTTTTTTTTTATTATTCAAATTAGCAAATGCCTAATAATAAAATATTTTTTCGATATTATTTAATCCCAGGAACTTAATCAATAATATCAAATATATTGTTTATTTCAAAAAATTACGAACAGAATAAAACTGGAATGATCATAGATTATTAAGTTGTGCCCAAATTAGTTGAATGTTGAATAATTTAAATATCTAATATATATAATATTTATAATGATTTATATAATATTTTATAAATATAGGCGAATTAAAGAAAAAAAGAAAAGTCCCATCAAGTATTTGTTTAACCTAATAATTGAGAAATTCTTGAATTCTACTATAATATAAAGCCATTTCTTAGTATTTACAACCATGGTTTCGTTTATTAGGCATTTAGGGGACCGTGGTTTTATTATTATAATGAAAATGGATAAATTAATAAACATTAATTGTTATATTATGTCTAAAACATGTAGAATACCTGCACTTGATTAAAAGCAACATTAATTCTATAAAAAGCAATTAAAATGTATGTAATAATAATTAATAAGTGTAATTAATTATAATTAAACTATTAACTTTGAATTAAAATATTCATGGTGATTTGATTTTCAAATAAAAAAAAGGCTTAAAAACGTTATTAAATTTAAATATAATATTATAATATTATGAAATTATTTTACCTTGAGATCACTATATTTGAATGTAAATACAGCTACCATTGGTAAAAACCCGATTACTACAAGCGTTAATAATAGTATTGTGATTCGAAGTATAATGTCATAGGTGGCGATGCATGGACTAAAATCAACGCAATCATCACAGCCCTCTGCACATTTTTTACACTGAAAGTTGGTTTCAACGTTGTACGTATTAGGTTTTCCCTAAAACAAAAAAAAAAAAAAATTTTAAAAAAGATAAGTAAACAATAATGGATCAATATTTTTTAAAAAGTATTATAAAATAATTATAGAAAATAAGCTATTCAATAAGCTTACCAACATAAGCTTTTCGTACTCTTCTTCTACTACAACTCCATTGAAAGACTTTTCAGTACTTGTGATATTTGGAAAAAAATATCCTTTACGGCACACACATTTGTAACTTCCTCGGCGAAAACCAAATCCAGCTAATGAGACACACTAAAAATATATTTATAACATTTTTTAATACTACATATTATTAAATAAATACACGGTATGTACAATCATCGTACAGATAACCAACCTACCTAGCAAATTAAATAATTTTCTTTATTATTATTTTTTTTTTTTAACTTTATTATAAAAACACAATCTGTACCTGCGGCACAATAAGAGTATGATATAATTTCCAACAATAGAAGAAAAACAATTTGATTGAAGAAGCCACCCATTAATGAAACTTTCGTCTTTTATTTATTTATTTATTATTTTTTTTTTATTTAAATTAATTTATACTATAATTTATAATATTTTAAATCTGTAAAAAATCATGAAAATAAAATATTTTTCTGTTAGTAAGTATGAAAAGTTATAAAATACCATATTAATTATGACTTCTTAATATAATTATAGATTTTAATTATTACCCGACACATTGTATCTAAAATATTTAAATTAAAAATAAATTTATTGGCTTATTGACTTAATTAGTATTTACTGCTTGATTAATCATTTAATTCACAAAAAGAAAAAAAAAATAATGAATAAAAAAATAAAACAGATGAGTGATTATAAAATAAACATATAGAATCAAATTACTTTCCGTGGGATTTTTAATAAGCCAATTATGTTTTAAAATTTATTTTATTCAATTATTTGCCTTTTGATCATTTGAAATACACAAGTTTTTCGGGTATATATAAATTAAACGTAGAATATCATAGTTGATTTGTATAGTAATTTGTAAATAAATTTTAATAAAATGAAAACCCAAGTAATGTAATTAACTGAGTTGACTATTGGCTATCGCTATTTGAGGCTTTTTATGCTCAGTTTGTACATGTATATGAAGTTGTTTGTATTGATTCTAAAAATGATTAACATTTTAGATATAATAAAAAATGTACTAGTTTTGTAACAAATTACTTATACATTAATTTATAACCTTTTGTAAAAATAATGTAATAATTTATTTTAATAAACAGAGTTTTTGTCAATTTTAAAAATACTGCTGTAATATCAAAATAAATATGTTATGTGATTGTTGGAGTGTGATTTATCTAATTTCTCATAGGATATATCAATGATAGTGATTTCCGTATGAACTTATAGACCTAATAATTATTCATAATAATTCAGAGAGAATTTTTAAAATTTATATTAGGAAACATTTATTGTTGTTGTAAATAGTTATTATTAGGCAAATTACACGTTTAATGGTAAAATGAAACATAGTATTATGTCTATAGCATCGCTTTTTTTATATAATGTCTCAATTCAATATTGAAATGAAAAATTTTAAATGGTACTAAAACTAAATCGTAGTTTTTACAAAATATAATGTTTGCAGTTTAAGAAAAATAATATATACCATAAAAATTAATAAAAAATTAATTTACACCTATGTTTTATTTCCCTACACGACTTTTGAGTTAAACGTTTTAAATAACTTTTGTAAAGTTGTATGTTATTATTTCTATTGAATGCTTTTAAAATTCAAATGTTTTTCTTTCAATCAAATATTAATAAATTTAATTGATGTATCAAAAAAAAAAAAAAACTTGTAAAGCTTTCAAAATGGGTATGGATATTTTCTACATACTATGAATACTTAAAGTTAAGCGGAATAAATGGAAATGAAAAAACTGATCAAGAAGTGTCTAAAGTAATCATTTTTATCCTATACAATATTTTTAAACACGTGTAGATAATATATATATATATATACTAGCTGCCCGGCCACGCGTTGCTGTGGCTAAATGTTCTTACACTTGATATTAAGCAGACAGTCTTAAACTTTTAAACGTTAATATCTAATTTTTTAAATTATAAATACTTTTAATTTTTCAATTTAATTTAACACCAATCGGTGCACAATGCTTTTGGTTAACCTGTCTTTAGCTAACACAAATAGATTCGACGGTTTCCCAACACGTGAACACGCAACATATAGTTGCCCATGAGAAAAACATGGATTTTCCAAATCTAAACCACAAATGGACATTGTTTGACCTTGAGATTTATTTATAGACATGGCGAAAGCTAAACGAATTGGAAACTGTAGCCTTTTGAAGGGTATGGTAGAATCTGATGGTATCATCGGAATACGTGGCAGCAGGACCACTTTTCCTTTAAACTTCCCAGACAAAATGGTTGTTTCAAGAATGTTTCCGGTAATCTTTTTGATGACCAAACGCGTACCGTTACATAATTGAGTTAGCTTCGAATTACGGAGGAGAATAATAGGGGAACCAATCTTTAATCGAAGATTATGTGGTGGCATTCCAGGGATATCTAATGAATTTAAAAATTCAATCGGAAAATTTACACTTTCATTTTCGTCAACAACAGTATCGATTGATTTAAATGACATCAGATCGCCTGGTAACAACTGTTGTATCTGGAAGTTAATTTCGTCAACGTCAACGTTTTTGGCTGCCAAAATCGCCCGTTGACTAAGCCATTCATGATTCAAATAATTATTCTGTATATCCGGGAAAATACTCTGAATCATTTCATTTTTATCCTGAACAACAGTGCAAAAATTGTCTGATAGTTTAATGTATTGCGTATTTGGTTGCAGTTCTATTTTACCGTTCTCAATATTTAATAGTTGTTCGGAAAATAATTGTGCTGATGGATCATTTTGCAATTGTACTCGCATATTTATGGTCATTCGAAGTGTTTCGACACTTCGCCATAAGAATGATTGTTTCAAACATGCATTAATCTCATTCGCGAAAGTAGAGCGAGGTATAACCGGTAAGGTCTGCCGGAAGTCACCAGACAAAAGTAAGATAGCACCACCGAAAAGTTTATTATTGCTGTTTAAATCTTGCATAGTTCTGTTTAGTGCTTCAAGTGAATATTTGTGTGCCATTGTGCACTCATCCCAAATTATTATAGAACTCTTCCGCAACATTGCAGCTATTCCACTATTCTTTTTGATGTTACACATTGCATCTGGTTTATTATGAACGTCGTTTATTATGCAGCTTGAATGTTGAATGTGCTGTTCGCCCACCATCCAGTAAAGTAGCCGCAATGCCTGACGATGCTACAGCTAATGCGATTTTTTGTTGCGACCGTATTTTGGCAAGAATCAACGATATTAAAAATGTCTTACCGGTTCCACCGGGTGCATCCAAGAAAAAAAAACCGCCTTGTTCAGCAGCAACAGCCAGCATAATCCGATCATAAATAATTTTTTGTTCTGCTGTCAGTAATGGTTCATTGTTCATGATAATTGTTGCTAAACTTCTATGGTCATATTGATTTTCTCGTTGTAAATCGGTATTGACTCGGAAATAATGAGCGGCTGATCCGTTGCCTTTGTCGATCTCTTTCTCGTACTGTAGCTATGTTTCGTTCTCGTTCCGCGCTTGTTCTCGTAATATTCTGTTGCAGACGTTCGTCACGCTGTTCTTGAGATTCTCGTGCACGACTTTCTGCAGTCCTAATTCTTTGAGCTGCATTTCTTGTTTCCATTTGTTCTGGTAATTGCTGAGCTCTTTCAACACGTTTGCGTCGTGACCCTTTGCTGCTCGCGTTGTTGAAGTTAGATTTTTTCGGTGGCATGTTATCATAGCACATAAATAAATAAATAAATAAAATAAAATAAAATAAATTGAAATTATTGTGGCCATGGTAACGTAACTTTTGTATGCAATAAATAATATTTTTTTTTCGATTTTTATCGATATTAATCGATTTCAAGCCCTGCTATTATCGATTTTTGTATTATTATTTATATTTTATTTTTATCTGCTAGAGAGTGCCACCGGTGTAACTCGGTTTTTGTCTCTAAATCTCTAACTCACAGGAGTTAGGTCCATACCCTATATCCTGTCTTTTAAGTTGGACCAAATTACACGCGGTGTAAAAATTTCATCAGAATCGGTTAAGTGGTTTAGGAGTCCATTGAGGACAAACATTGTGACATGAGATTTATATATATTAAGAAGAGATATATAATATATATATATATAACATTAAATGGAAGAAATCAATCAGTAACATAAATTAAACTTAAATATAATTAAAATAACATTTAATTACGGTGGAACTTTAATTTTAAAAGGTAAGGCAATACTATTGTAAATCACTTTTGAATACAGAGCATACATTTATAACACACAATCGTCTCATGAATAAAAATGATCCTTTTTTATTATGAGAAGCATGTTGAGTTAACATTAAGTTAACTTCTGAACATATCTTAACTGAATTGTCAAAAATATTTGGGTATATAAAATATACACTAGAGCACATCTGATAAGAAAATCTCTACAAGCAGAGTATAAATATCACTAGATCACTAGCTTCTTTAAGAAACAAATTAAACAGTTAAATTTGAGTTGGAAAAAAATACCTAGGCGTTGTAAATAAATTTTAAATAATACCTAGTTAAAATAAAAAATACAAACCTATGTAAAATAAAATATTTTAAATTAATAAAATTGTTGAGCAAATTTTCGTAGATTTTGATGTAATTTAATATATTATATTATATTAGAGCTGTTGTTAATAATTGTCAAATAATGTGGACCACAATTACAATAAACTTTACTTTTACTTGATTGTTTGTAAACTTAATCACTACTATTATGTGTTAGACCACTGGTTCGGTAGCTTTTATTATGACACAAAGATAAATCGCACAAGAATTTTCTATCACATGTGTGTTATTTTTCTTCAGTACATAAACGAAAAAGGTACCTACGTAATACGTTTCATAAATATCACGCACAATACTAATATTATAGATACAATTGCGTACTCACGTAGTGAATACAATCGCTATAGTCACTACATATATCAGATGAGACGTGAAATGAACGGAATTTATTATTGCAATTTTACTACAGTAGTATTAAGAATATCGTAAAGTTAAACGTGTGCATTGTTGCCTATTCTATGTTGTCATCGTCTATCCGATTTACAGTTATGCCATCACGAAAATACAATATGTGGATATTAAATGCACGACATTATTAATAAACACACGTTAACTTTGAACATTTTAATTTTATCAGAAAACTTTATAATAACACACATAGTTGTAGATACTTTAAAGAGAAATGGTCTCATAACCACAGCGATAGAAATACAAAACAGTACAATTTTAAGTTAATTATAAACAACTGTGTATTTAAAATTGATTAAAACGTTGAGAAATTAATAATGGTTATTAAACTTACTTGAGTCGTTTCCATTTTACATTTATTTGAAGAGGCAAAAATGTTTAGCTTTGTACTGCCTTCAGGTAAACTACATTGGTCGATATCCACTCTCCGCAAGTCGATATCAATTCCGCTGGTCCCCCTATAGCAAAAAAAATATATTTTATTCTATAATATTATAATTTAACTTGGAATATAATAAAATTGTACTAATGGAATGCTATAGTTGGGAAATCTTTGAATAGAAAAAAAAGTATGAAACTCTTTGGCACGTGATTCAAATATTATTCTCGGCAGACAATGAATATTTTTTATAAATAAAAAGATAGCACTTCTGAGAATTTTTGAAGATGATATTAAAATAAAATCTCATAACTTTATCAGATTTTAACAGTATCATTAAAAATCATTTCAATTTTCTTTTTCATTATAAGGACACAGATTGGCTGATTTATAAATAATAATATTATTATTCTCTGTATAATATATTTTAAATATACTCTTTACATTTTTTTTTTTTTTTTTTATATAAGACAATTTATATTTTACCATAACAAGCTAAAAATATTGTCAGATATATTTTAACATATATTGAAGTTTGTTAGTATAAGTAATTAAACTCAAAATTATATTAAAATTTAAAATGTAAGTATGATAACAACACATAATTTGTGGATGAGAAAAGGTTTAAATTATTTAATTACATAGGAATAACATTGTGTATGTTATATTGTACATATATTCATTATTTATTTTATTATGTACCTAATTTAAAATTTTAAATAATGAAATTTAAAACACAAAAACTACTAAAACCATTTTTATTTGCTTTTAAAATAAAGTTTAAAAATTATATATTATAATTTTATAAAAGTTATTAATGTTAGAATGTATTTGTATTTAAATCAATTACTAATTTGTAATTAATGTGAATCTATTTTATATTCAATTGTATTATGTTAAAATATGTTATGAATTTTAAGTTTTATTTATAGTGTTACTTACATCACTTAACATGTTAAATTAAACTGAAATATTCTATATTATATGCCTGTTAATATTACATTTAAAATCATCCAAGATAATTAAAATAATCTTTAATGTATACATAGTTTTTTTTAATTATAGTTATTTTAGTTATAATTTGTTTAAAAATTTTAATTTTAATTCTCCAAAATAATAATTTTTCTTGATTTCAAATTTGAAAAGTTTTACATATCGGAAAACTTCGAAAACATTTTATTTCAGAATATAAAATTAAGAATGTATCTTATCATTTAAAAATGTTAGACTTAAAAAATTATGATGATGAAAAATTGTTTTTTTTTAAATATTTTTTTTTCAATAACATAATATTACTTAAAAAAATGTAGAACTTTTCGAAATAATTTATGTGTATATTTGAATCATTCTGTATATTGTTAAATACAATTAAATTATTTTATTTCATAACACTGAAAACAAAAATAATGTACACAAAAATTATTTTTTACATAAAATATTTATAAAATTAAATTAAAAGTAGATTTTACAGTTAACTTAGAAAATGGTATTAATATTAATTATGCGATATATAACCATACTTATTATAATTTATAACACACTTTTTGACCACATATTTTAGTACAAATGGGTAACTTATTATTATGTTTATGTTAAGTGTTGTGCTAATAGCTTAAGAATGGAATTAAATGTTTATATACAATTTACCTAAAACATAAAATACATTAAAAATAGACATAAAATAGTTTACATTATTTTCCTTATAAATTATAATGGCACTTATTTACATAGATAGATTAAATAACAATTCTACTCGTATAGTACATTTTATAATATCAATAGGAACTTCAATCAAACCTAATAGGCTTTTATAGCTTTTGATGGTTATCAAATGCACAATAATTTTTAAATGTAAATAATAATCATACAAATATATATATATTTACAATTTTTTTTTCAAATAATATTACGGCTGTATTATCATTAAAGCTTAATAATCACTTTTATTTTTTATAGGAAATTATTAAAAAAAAAAAAGGTTGACAATAAGCAAAACCTTTTCTGAACAATAAGTGGTGTCAAGTGTCCCTCATTATTGAGAAGTAAGTCATTGTACTTTATGAGTTAAATTTTTAATTCAATAATAAATCATTGCATACGAAAAAAAGATTCTGGACGAAGATGGTCTATTTTACTAGCTAATATTACTAAGTATACATTTTGTGAAATGTTTATATTACTATCAAATCATTTTTTATTTTTTTTGCTTCTAGTAGGTTGAATTAATTTTTACTAAGACCATTGCATTTTAAAATGTCATTGTATGTATAAAATATAACGGTACGGGTTAAAAGTTTCAAGTACACCTGGATAATATTTTTAAATTACAACAAAATAACTAAAATCATTTTTCTTCTTTTAAATGTCTAGTTTTATTCATATTCAAACTTAAAATATATATTATACAAAAAGTTTGATGTATATTTTATATTATTTTTAGTTACAATTTGTACTGCTTAGGAGAAACCTTGTATTAAATATTCAATTATTAGATATGATAATTGAACATTTTATAAACTTTTAACTGTAAAATTGTTTATCAATTTTTGTGATATCGATGAGTTTTGTTGAAAAATAATTGTGAATTAACGCTCTACTTTTATTTATTTTTTTTTTTTTAATTCTAATAACAAAAAAGTTTCACGAAAAATTATGTATTTAATTGTCAAATATTAAATATGAATATTATCTATTAAAAATGTTATATAGTTTAACTACCACATACTATTGCCTTTTTAAGTATCAACTAGTTCCAATTTTTTACCAAAAATAATTAAATCATTTTTAATACTATAAAAGGCGATAGAAGCAAAAAAAAACACACATAGTTATAAAATCAATATATTTATTGTTTTGCATAGAATCTAAAAATAATATTTTTTAGACATAAAATACATAAAATATTACTAAAAATATTTTAAAAAGTAGTAAAATGTTTCAGGTATACTACTAATTTTAATTGCGATACGAAGAACTAAATTATATTTTTACTAATTTATACATTATTGCTTTCTATGTGAATAAAATTTATTTTTGTCAGATTATGTTAAGTTCATCCTAAAAAATTATAAAAAGGTATAATATAGTAAACAAAAATATATTGTATATTTGTATGTAATATCAAAATTGACAAAAACTTAAATCATTTTAATTCATCGGAATAATTATTAATAAATTCTAAATATTTAGCATTGTTGTAGTGTGAACAAGGTTTTTTTTTATATAGGTAATTGCTTCCTGAAATTTGTGGACACAATTTGAGGGTGTTTTTGATTTTTCAGACATAGCTAGTATTTTATCTAATTTTTTAACCAATAACTACAATACCTAATAGTATTAGATGAAGGTTTTTTCGACTATTATTTCTAGAAAAATTTTCTAACAACTATAAAATGCCACGTATGGTGCAACAAATTGGCATTATATTTTATTACTGTGTAGACGTGTAGTATTATGTATGTTATTATTATGATATCAAGTGCATCCAGTTTTCAGCGGGTCGTAGTCACTCGAGTGTGGTTGACTCGTGTTTGATGTTGTAGGTGAAATAACTCGACGAATATTTCAACGTTTAGTTGAGAATAATAATAATTATTAATAGCTTCAACGGCCATGCCGTGACAAGAAAAGCAACCGATGTCACGTTAACTTACTCGCTTACACACACACACACACACAATGGATCCATCGAACCATAGTCTTGATGAACAGCATCCCAGTGTAAATAATAATATTTACAACAGATATAGGCAATCAGCTGAATACCAAAATACCACACATAGATTCCCCCTCCTATGTTTCTGACACTTTGTAAGAACCGCCTCATTCTACATAATATATTATTCATAATTATTTATTATACAGTAAAAGTAACAATTAAATTTTAAATTTATGAAAAATACATATATATGACTAGATACTATTGAAAATTATAGGGCTTGGAAGTCTTAGAAATTTCATATTGTTCTATTTGCACTCAATTTATAGCAGACCAAGCTAGATATCTGAGCTAGATATTCAATTGTGAGTTTAAAAGTTAAGAATTTGATATGCATATTTCTTAAATTTTAGGGAAAAATGTCATTAATTTCTTTACGCATATTATTAATTTAAGTATTATTATAATTTATAATAAATAATAACATATACTTTCTAAAACAAAACCGATATACATTGAAACACTATCCCATAATTGAAATCAAAATTTTATATTTTTCAAACTAATAGTACATATAAATATTATATTGTATATCCGTCATTTTCGGTGAAACAAATTCATTATTATGTTGCATTTATTCGATTTGTACCACCTTCTCACAGTTTAGGTATTTATATTTCTAAAACGATTTTTAAACTAAAAATTAATATATTTTTGATCTAATTTTTTCAACTACTACGAATCCAGTGTGATCCACTCAGTAATAAGTACCTATAATAATACAATAAGTTGATAGTGTTACGAATTTTTGAAGTATAATTGAAATAAGTACCAACTGTCCTACTATCTACTACACAAGATGAATATGCTATTATTTATTAAAAATGTCTATTAGCGTCTGCTTTAACTGCAGTATGAATAGTTTACATATTATATACAACATGATACAGAATTTTTGGGAAGCAATTTGAATTTTTCCATTATAACAATCATTTTCTGAGGAAACTCAATTTTTCTATTTTATCCGTTTTGTCTATTATTCCAGCCATCCTTACATAGTTTGGTTAAACATTGTAAAATTACCATTAATATATTATTTATTTATTTATTTATTTTTTTTTTTTACCAATTATCAGGGCATAATAGACAATAATTGTCTAATTAATTTTGTCTATATATTTAATACATCAAAAATCAAACCATCCTAATAACAATTTATATTTCTTGTAAGGATTTGTACTAAACATACAAAATCAAATTCAGTACTTATAGTTTTATCTGAAACAGTATATAGGTAAATTTGATCATATACCTATCGGCTATCATATTTGTTGCAGCTTTTAGAATCAAACAAAATAACTAAGTATTTTTATTTTAAATTCTGAACAAAGCAATAAAAATATTATTTTTATAGATTTTACAATGTAAAAGTCTTAATCTATTGGAATAGTAAAAATGCTTTTTTGTACGTAGATTTTAGAATAAAATTGGATCTATTTAGTATTTTTTTATAATATTTGGAAAAAAAAAAAGGTAAAATAGTAAGTTTACGAGAAACATATTTTCGTCAAAATTTACTTACTTTTTTTGTTATAATTCACAAACAAAAAACCATAGAAAGATACTTAAAATGTTTACTTAATGTGTATGTCAGCATTTTCTACATGTAGTGTAATTTACTAAATATTTAGACTGTTTTTGAGCTATCTATTGGTAATTGAAATTTTTGATTTTTTAGTTATTCTATAAATGTCGATAAAAAATTATTCACTAGGTTAACATCATTGAACATTTAACTGGAAACTTCATGAAATGTATTATCGAATCTGTTTAAGTATATAAAAAATACGTAGACATAGTATTTTTTTTAAATGTATTTAAGCTTAAAATATTTATTTAATATACTGATACTTAAGCATAAAAATGCATAAGATATATTTGACATTAGTGTATAACAAAATAAAATAATGATTTTGCTTACTGTTATGTTTTTGATATGTAACTTAAATAAAAATGCATATTTTATTTAAGTAAATTTAATGTCAGATTATAAAATTTCGAACACCTCAGAAAGATAACATAATTTTCAAAAAAAATATGATTAAACATTGCGTAGAACATACTGCAAAATCAATATAATTTGAAACTATTACCTGTTCTTATTGCATAGATATAACTGCATAAATAATTTGATCATATAGTAAATAGCACTTACTATCATTACAATTTAGAAATATGTAACCAGTGTGTATGTATAGCCTTGCAATGACATAATTTTAATTTTAATTAAATATGTACATTGTACACATTATTTTTACTCAAATCACCATTCCTTACGTTTAATTGGAAATATACAGGCAAATAACGCAAACATTTCTAATTTTACAAACACAATTATACTTTTTAATAAATTTGAATTATTTTCCTATGTATACAAAACATAATTAGAATCAAAATTAACTTAAAACACTATTTTATTTTACATGCTTGGTAATACATTTTATAGTAATAAAAAAGAAATACAAACTATTAGATATAATTAAGTATTATTATATAATTATACTACGTATTAATTATTAAGTAATTTAATGTTATAATATTATATTTTATACAATACGTAAATATAAAAATAAATATTTAGATTTTATATTAATATAGATCCGAATTAATTACTGTACCAAAATATTAATCTGTGGTACAATTATATTTCATTACTGTAAAAGTTTGTCTGTACTTTTGCCGTGTAACCTACTGTTTTTTTTTTTTTTTTTTTTTTTTTTTTAATAAAACAATAAGAGTATTGGATAATACTCTGTTGGATTTAACAACAACACCACATGCCATGCGTTAGGTATACATTTCTGTGAGAATGAGTAATTAAATTTTAACATTTAATTGTTAACAAATAAATATATTACTTCAATAATAACATACGTATATATTTGTAAGGACGTGTATTTACTGCAAAACGTCATATGTGGTTCTCGTAAGTAAAATGTTATACATGGTAAAATATTTTTAAATTCTATTTATTTTGTGTAATATATTTTATTTCATTATTTAACTGTATATAACTACAATTCAAATAGAAATAACAGGAATCAGACAAATAAATTAAATTAATTTCGTTTTTCAAGATGTTTTAAAATATCGTTTTAGTATAATTTTAACAATAGGTAATCAATCGGTAACTTAAATAGCATAAAGAAATATTTAAAATGACATATTGATATCATTATATTTAAAAAATATTTTTTTCAGTGAAACTTTATTAAAAGCTTAGTTGTTTGGATCTTAAATAGGTAACATATTCAACAATATTTCCTACAATTATAGATAAAGTGATAACAAAATGTATTTTATAGCTATTTTGTCATAAAAATATTAAATATTTATAATAAAGAAAAACATATAATACAATTTTTTTTTATTATTTACAAATTTCTACGATTATCAGTAATTTTTATAATATTTTTTTCTTTTTTCTTTTTATAATATTTTTAAAAGAGATTTTGAAATAAACATTAAAATTTTTAATGAAACTCATACTTTTTTGTGCAATCATAAAATGAAAAAAATTTCTAAATTTTTCTATTTATAAAAAGCAAAACTCAAACGAATTTTTTATCAGAAATATTTATTTGTAATTTAGGTTACATATTTTAAGAGTACCTAATATATTGACTATACATATACAATGATTACTTGGATAACACAGTTAAAAACTATAAATCTATAATAGAAAAGTCTCAGGAAAACATATTGAAATTAATTTTAGTTAAGTACATGGATATTATTATAATATTCAAATCATAGTTTTCTATTTAATTCTATGTATCGATAATCTTAGGTATAAGAATTTTGCAGTTCAAAATATATTTTTTAACACTAGCTATAATTTTATAAGCTAACCTTGGTCTTAACATATACTGGTAATATTCATAATACCTTCAACTACTATATTTAACTAACTAATATGTTCGTGTTTTTAAATTTGTAGCTTGAAAATTATATAGATGTGTATATGTCTTAACTACACAATAATTTATTGTTGTTATTAAAGTGTCACTGTTTAGGGTAAAATAACCAATATGCATATATACTAAATTTATATTCAACTTATTTACGTAACATTATTATGAAGTCACATGGTTATATTATTAAAGAACTGTTTCTTTAAAAATCAAATTATTATGTGAATAAATTTTCAATATTTACTCAAAATCACAAAATAAACATATTGAAAACTATCATATGCAAACAACATACAGTAACAGTACATTGTTGGAAATACATAAAAGCTATGGTACTATGCCAAGAAAAATTCGTTTTATTATTTTTTTAAATATAGATAATACAAAAACAAAAAAATATATATATATATATATATTTTGAATAAACTAATTTACATAGAAATAATATTTTATATGAATTTTAAACCATTAACAGTTTTTATAAAACTGTTTATGATGTTGATTAAAAATATAATATTTTAAATCGTTCAGTATAATTATTTTACACTCAAATATCTATGTCGTAATACAATATAATTTTTTATTCAAAACTATATTATAACTAGGTATAGAATTAACTATTTAAATTTAATAATAATGATTATAAAGTGTCGCTATTGGGTGGCTTCTTTTGTCACGTGTTGCATGCCAAATTATTATATATATCAGCATACATGCTTATTGTAAATTTAATTACAGATTGTTTGTTTTAAAATAAAGTTAAAAAAAAAAAAAATAATAATAATGATGAAGATAATACTCATTATACTGTATACGCGGTTACTACCCTAGAAAAAAAAAACCTATTGATATACCATTATCTAATATAATCTTCTACTGGAGTATTGGTGTTATTGAAAAATATTTTGACATGACATAAGTTGGTGAAAAAATTTTAAAAACAAACAAAAAATCAGTTAAATGTACATTACCAATTGTAGAATACTAAATATTAATAGTATTCCTCTAATAATTAGAAGTTATATTAAACTCTTATCGTATCACACTCAAATAACGGGGTAGTAATTCTATACCATATTTTTTCTGAACGAGACGTTTGTGCCTTTCATTATCATTATATATATTTATATACAAAAAATAATATGGCCATTAACATACGTCATGGGAAACGAAAACCAAACGTAGTCGCCATCCTTATAAAACATTCCTACTAGCTTAAAAACGAGGAAATACAAAAGTAGGCCCTTCCGGAAAACTAATTCATAAAATTGGATTGTGTGTTCGAAAAAGAATTCAAAGTCTTTTTTTAGTATTTTTAATATGGATAACTTGACTTTAATTACAAAAATAACATAAATTGAAACATATGTAATTCAGTGTTTGATACTTATGAAAACAATTAATAAAGATGCTAAATGTAGACAAAAAACATAATCGGCATTAGACAGGTATAAAAAACTATAGTGTCTATACACTTATTATTTCGTTATTAATGTTTTTATAAATATTTATTATTATTATTATTTTTTTCTTCATAACTCTATTTCTTACATTTTTTTTTTTCTATCGTTTACAGTTTTTTAATTTGTTGCAAAATATATCATTTTTCTTTTAAAAATAGAGTTTTTTGATGACATAAAATTATGTTAAAACAATATTTAAAAAAAAAAAATTAACTTTTTAAAAGAATATTAGTTGATATACAAATGGATTATATTTCTTATAGTCCTGAAGTAAAATGTGTCGTTTTACAATGGTATTCTTAACTGACAAGTATAAATGGACATTTCTAAATAGGTACTTACTTGAAAAAATATTTAGCATCCTTGAAAGCAAAGAATGGTACAGTGTATGTTAGCATCCATATATTTCCACCTCCACAATCATAATATGGTTTGCTCCATTTTCCGTCTTCGTACGACACTGCTAGAATGTCGTCAGGAAAACTTTTTGTATGACTTGTTTGATTCCAAGTATATGTATTGATTGCTGAAAAAAATTGTCATTAAAGCATAGAAAATATTTAACTACAAAAAAAATTTGATTATTTCATTACAATTTATTATTTTAAATATAATTATTAAATATACAATAATATTAATTAATTATATATTAATAATAATTAATTTGAGAAAGATTAGATAATTTATGATTTTTTCATAATAGTTCACCAGTATACCATAATTAACTAAGATAAGTAACTAAATTTTATTTATCTTATATTTGGTAAAAAAAAAAAAAAATTTATTTGAAATATATTTTGCATATTTTATAAAATATTTGCTAGAAAAAAAATTGAACTTAATAGTTATTTATTATGATAAAAGCTACGAGAAGTAAAAACAGTACCATTAAGAGAAAAACCAAATTACTGTTTGGTGCATATCATTACGATGCTATATTATCCTATAATGTGTATCCGTATTCATGTAGTTACATAAAACTTATATATCTTACATAATAAAACTCTTATGTCAAACTAAATATGTAAAACAACCAAAAACCAGTAAATATTTGACCATTTGACCCATACGGTTTATTCAAATTTTATTCTAGAATAAAAATATAAACATAACATTTGCCTAACTTAAAAAACGTTATAAACATGTTATGTCAATATGACTTTGTACATAAAAGTACGGTTAATAAAGATTAAAAACAATATTAGAAGTTAATTATAACTATAATAATCATGATAAATATTTTAATTGTCAAGGTATAATAATGTACTCTATATATTGAATTAAAATTTAAAAAACCCGAAAAAAATATAATAATATAAATTAATATTTTTAACTACCTATAATATTATATCTTACATTAATAATCTTTTTAGCATTATTTTATTTTTTTAATAATTATAAAATATTACTATTCAATATTTTAATATTAAAGATATTAATATTAAAACACTAACAGCTAAGAATAAAGAAAAATTATTTTTTTTAAATTATTCTTACAATATTTGTTGTTAGATCCCCATGCTTGCAGCATATTATTGATAAAATGTATCCACATAAAATCGTTTTTATAGTTATTGAATAATTTTTGAAACAATAATTTCATTGATATCCTTTTAAGGTAAACGTATATCTAACGTTGTAATTGTTAAACAAAAATAAATTAAAATCTTTAAAATGCGTATATTTAAAAAAAATATATTAACAATGCAACTTTATTGCTTACGAGTTTAATTTCTATAGACTAAATATATATAGGTTAATAATTTAAAATAGGAGTAAAAATATTATCAATAAATTATTTTTTGTTGAATTATTTTATTTTATGAGAATTTTAACTTTACTCGGTCATTATTTATTTATTTATTTATTTATTTATTTATGTTTTTTTTTTTGGCTAAATAGTTGATTGAATTATTTACCTTTAAAATACCAATGACAATAAATGATGAACAATTAAATGAGCATTTAATTGTTTTTAAATGATGCTTTGAATATTTTAAAAATAATGATAACATTTGAATGTAAATCAATAACTTAAATATAATGTATTGAAAAAATGTGCACGATTTAAGAACAATTATCAACCCTGAATATTCAACAATTTAATTATTTATTTCAAATTAAGGTATAAAATTGTTAGTGACAGATACTGGTTTATAATAAAAAGTTTTGTTATTTGTATTTTTTTCTTATAAATACAGTCGTTTTAACAGTTAGTTGATGAATAGATGAATTGTTAATTTATAATTATATTTTTTTTTCCTCGAAAAATCAATAAATTAGTTCTAAAATCGAAAAATTGCATTTATATATTAATTTAAAATAATATATTTAAATACTTTCAGTTTCATTCCCTTATAATATTATAATTTTAGAAATGTAAATTAACTATAGGGATTATAATCGAGTACGTTACTACCATAGTAAAATAAAAGTAATATTCTCAGTTGGTATTGGAAAGAGTCCAATTAGACCAACTTGAAATAAAAGCAAAACAATAAATAATATATAAAAAAAATGAATCTTGAAAGGAAAAAAATATAACTGTAAAAGTAAACTATAATTAAAAATAAAAATATTTGTCTAAAACAATTATAAGTTTACAAAATGCATTAGATACAGTTTTTCAGAACAAACTTTTTATTTAAAAATAAATATTATCTAATTTTAAAACGTATATTTACTTTGAAAAATATATGCAAGGACCTTGTTTAAAGTTTTTAAAGATAATATTTGATACATTTAATAAAAACTATAATATTTACGTTCAATTGCTATATAAACTGATTGTTAAATGATTTATTTTAAATTACAATACATTAGATCCAGTGACCTACATAATTAAAACTTATCTATTTGATTTGTCATTTTATTTATTTATTTTTAAGTGTTTTATACACTTACCGTTTATAGATAAAATCAAAAAATGAGTATAAATATGTGACTGTGATTGTAAAGTACATAATACCCTGTAGAATTGATACCATAATAGTTATTACAATAAAATACGACAATTTATAATAGATAACAATGACTTCGCATATTGCCTGACTGTAAGTTTCACCATCGGGTCAAAGATGTATATTATGTAAATTTTGGTGATTGTGTTTCCGTCCCGATACCGTTTATCATTTGTGTATAGTGTATACTCAACATATAATTTATTCGAGTACAGTGTTAAACCGTAGTATTGTAAGTAGTACTTGGGATACTTTCACTTGAAGCCCATTATGTTTAATTTCAAATAAAGTTTACTCATTCCATAAACTTCCTGAATCTGTTTAATTCTTCCCAACGCTATGTACAGGTAAAATATAATATAAAATAGAAATTGCCAGATTGGGCTTATTAGAACATGACCAAATCATAATATTAGTACAATTATATTTTGTAATACTTATAAGTGTAAGTATTCGCAAAACCCGTGGTATTTTCTAAATACGTATCATGTTCAACCTACTAACATTAGGATGCATTTGTGTATGGTAACTTTGACGAAGAACTATCTGATAGTATTTACTATCTATCATACTCTATTTCTATTGTAACATTGAATCATTTATACTACACATTAAACCTAACGTAGATTAATTTAAGTCAAAATTTAAATTGATCACAAAAAAAAGTTTCATATTTTAAGGACTGTAAAACAATTACATAAGTCGCATGTACAAATGTACTATAACTAAATAAAATGTTAAAATTAACTAAGTTTATGATGAATATCGTTTTGAAGACCGACAATCCAATTTAGAAAGATTTAATTAGATAACCATAATAATTCTCTGTATAGTTAAATCGTACCAGATGTTCCTTAATCTTGTATACAGATGATAAACACCAGGTATTTTTATTTTATTTTTTTTAATTTAAGTATCCAATTGTGACTAAATTAAATTTTAATTCAAGTGTTTATCCATCAGGTTGAAAGGATGATTACTTCTATAATTTATAAACAATTAAATGATTCTACATCATATTATTTCATTTTTTTTACAATTGTAATACAATAAAAAAAAAAAAAAAAAAAAGATTATAAATAATACTCAATTTTTATAGTAAATGCTTTATTGGCAGAAATTGTTATAAAAAGATATTATTCATGTTTTTTCATCATTTTTATTGTAATGAAATAAATGTATGTAATATAATTCTTATAAATATTTTTTTAGAGATATAAACAATTTACAAAAAATAATTAATATATTATATTATTTTGTAATATGTACGGCGAATAATTTATTGCAATGGGTTATTTGTATATGATTTTAAAGAGCTTTTTTTCATTTTAAAAACATCACAAATTGATAATTATAGTAAAATTATAGATCATATTATAATATTTTTTTTTAGACTCCGAGTAAAGCGCTGCATGTATTGATTTTACAATACATGTGGATTGTACTGTTTATATTTACTACACGTTCAGTAGTTGAAAAATACTTTGATTTTGGGATGATTTAAAAAAAAAAACTTAAGCTTGTTAGTACTTTATACGAATCAAAATTAAAAATTTTTAATATACATTTTTATAATCCAAAAAATACTAATAAAAAATGAAATAAAAACTAGTCATTTTTACGCTACAAGTAAATCAGTTTTTGAATATATTTATTTCTTTATTATTTATAATTTAAGTACAAATACGTACTTGAACATGAAATGTTCACTCAAGTATTTATATCATCATATTATACAAATTAAATAATCTTAAAAATATCTTTACTCTTTTTGAGCTATTCATAGACATTAACAATTATTAATTTCATAAAGTTTTTTTTTTTTTTTTTTAATTCAAAAAATATTATTTACTGGATAAGTATGTTTAAAAAATTAAAATCAAGTTTATCATAACGTCTTAAATTGTGACTGAAAAAAACAAAAATGTATAGTAATTTTACTTTTATAAGAGTTAACACTTAGAATTTTGATGGAATTCATATAATCTCAAAACATTTTAAATTATTTCATGTTAAGAATTTTATTAATTCATACATTTTTTTTAATTGCTTATCTAAAATTTAAAAGTAAAAATTTAATACATTTTTTTTTTTTTATAAGTTTTTCAACCTTTATTTAAAAAAAAAAAAAACAACTGAAAATTAAATTTATTTTTTATGAATTTTTACAAAATTGTATTCACTATTAAATAAGTAATTCTCCTTAAGTTAGTTTTGATACATTTGTGTTATTCAAAAATTAAGAATTGTAAATACTTGAAATTTTTACAGAATATTTATATGATCATTTTTTGAACATATTATTATTGCCTGACCATTGACCAATGACATATTTTTATTATAAATTGTCACCATATACCGTTATTAAACAAATAACTCTTGAAATTTTTGATATCGATAAATTTTCTTAAAGTATTTAGCTTATATAATAATATTATTATACCTTATAATTAATATTATGTGACAAATTTAAGTTTAATTTATAAAAATATAGCATAAAAACAAATTAAAATTAAGTCATATACAACTGATAAATATTATAAACTATAATTTTATCTTTTGACTT